ACTGATGCTGTTTGTGAGGCCCTTTCCAGCTTTTTCTAAATTTTGAGACCATTAGCTCAAGAATGGATTAGTGAGGTCTGCCTTAGCATGAGAGAAGGGACACTGTTTCCTGCCATGAAGGTAAAGACAAGACCAGGGAGGCTGGAGCCATGGTTAAGACACAGTGAGAAATGCCTGTGAGTTAGAACCCACAGGCTAAAACTTGGGGGACAGTGAAGATTGGTCACCAGTGATGAACCAGTGCCTAGTGTGGTGTTTAGGTCACTCAGCAATCCTAACCCCTCTTTGGTTTTAGCCTTGTCTCTCAGGATCCTAAGATACTGCTGTGGAATCTCTACAACCTCAAAGCTTGTGGGCACACTTTATTTTACACAGTAGACACTTTAAAAGTTTTGCATGTTGCTATAAAGTTTGCCCTTGGTCTCTTTGTCTCTCAGTATGAAGATTGATTAATTTTACTCACGCCTCAGTTTCCCCATACACAAACAAAGACATTAGACCAAGTCAGAATTTCTCATGAAGCAGTCAGAGAAACAGTAGCTCTGTAAGATGGCAACAGCTATCATCTGGTGTGCATTAGATTTCAACAAGGAGTTTATTTTGGGATATCACTGTATTGAAGTACACTAACTGTAGGACTTCTCAGGTCACTTAATACAAATATTCACCTTCCTTTTGGTAGTTTTTTTGCAACAGGGTCTCCTTGTGCAGTCCAGGTTGGCCTTGAACTCAAAATATAGCCGAAGCTGGCCTCAGACTTGTGGTGATCCACCTCTCTCAGCCTCCCAGGTGACAGGATTACAGGCTCGGACCACTATACCCTGCCTAAAAACTCATTCACCTTAAAGTGACTCAAATAAGGAGTGTCTTCAAAACAGCATACACACTCCAAAGGACAGAATCTAAGGGCAGTGTGGCTTCAAAGCACTATAACTCTTTATCAGTTTTCCCTCGAGAATAGAGATATAAAGAGAAGTATAATCAATGATTGGCTCATTTTAGTTCTCTCCCATAGACATGATATGGTGATTGGCTTGTAGCAACAGTGTTTAACTAGCTCAAAGCAAGTGGCAAAAATGGGGTCATTTTTAGAGTAGAGCATTAGAAGATAAGTCAATGATACTGAAAATAGTTGAACAAGTTGTTGCTTAAGACCAGACTAGATATTTCAGCTACTTTAATGACACAATCAGTGATGAAACCAATTGGAAAAACTGATGGCAAAATGGTGTTGTTTTTTTTCTTTTGGGGGGCACAGTCTTGGTTAGGATAGTTGCTCTGAAGAAAGCCTTTCACTTGAAACTCCTGAGTAGTGAAATCCTACTCAGCATCTCCAGATGAGGGGTGGTGGAGGAGGTTGGAGAGGTTAGTTTTGCAGCACAGAATGGAGTAAAGCTGTCATAGTCTCATTTTTTGGCGGGGGGGTACTGGGGATTGAACTTGGGACCTTGCACTTGCGAGGCAGGTGGTGGAACAACTGAGCAAAATTCCCAGCCCTCATGTTCATTGTTCAGTGTGTGGTGAAGCCCCAAGTGCCTGAGCCACCAAGGCTCTCCACAATGGGGCAATGTCCTCTCCATGCCGTGTGAGCTGCTGTGACTATCTCGAGATAGACTCTCCTCCAAGTGTCTTCTTCCTTTATTCAAAAGAAGCCACACGTGCTTAATCCACCTTTTTACAAATCTGGGCATGAATGATAACCAGTAGTTTTCATCACAGACAAGTCAATTTTAAGGTCAGTATTTGATATACAAGGGTGGAAAGTGCAGTAGCATCATCAAAACCATCTATGAATTTAAAGCCAATGTCCTGCAGCTTTACTCACAAGGGCTAAAACATGGAACCAACATTGGAGTCCATGAATAGATGAATGAATAAAGAAGAATGTGTGGTGTGTATGCAAAATGGATGGAACTGAAGACATTATATTGAGCAAAGTAAACCAGACACAGGAAGCCAAATATGGCAAGCTCTCTCTCACACATGGAAGCTAAGGAAAAATGGGTCTGAATGAAGAATAGTGATTACCAGGAACTGGGAAGGACGGCGAACAGAGGGATAAAAGGAGATTGGATAACGGATACCAAAACAAAGAGAGAAGGAATGAGTTCTGGTGTTCCTCAGCACAGCCAGGTGACTATAAGTCACAATAAACTATTGTGCATTTTTATGAAGATCTAGAAGGTCGGAGCTTGAGGTCTCTAAACACAAAGAAATGATAAGGAGACAGAAATGTTCATTATCTTGATTTGATCAGTGCATGCTGTAGCATTTGTTAAATTTTAAACTGTACCCTACTTTTATGTACAGTTACTACATGTCCATAAAAATTAAAGATAAATTCCTGTGCTTGGCCCCACCCCTGGAGATTCCAATGAAATAAAATGTGTGCAGACATCTGGATTTTAAAATGTTCTACAGAGTCCATCAATAAGAGTTTAGATGCATAAAATGTAGTTCATCCATACAATTGAAAGCTAGCAACTTAACAATTAAAAGTAAAAAAGCTGTCAGTTCATGAAAGAGCAAGGATGGAGCTTCCAGACATCAAGTGGGGGGAAAAACTAGTCACCAAAGAACACAGTGTCAAATTTTTTGTGAAGTTCAAAAGAACACAAAAGTGCTACGTAGTGTTAGAAATCAAAATTATGGCTTTTACTGAGTGGGAGTAGGGAAATTGACAATCAGAGGGGCACAGGGACATTTTCTGGGGGTGATGAAAATATTTTGTATCCTTTTTAGGTGATAGTCTATGTACATGCACATAATTTCAAAACCTAATGAGTCCTTTTTCTTAGTAAACACTTCCCCCCCACCACTGGGGAGCAAACCCCAGGCCTAACTTGAGTACCCTAGGCAAGGAAGTACTCTGCCACCTAGCTGCATCCAGCCCAATAAACTGGACGCTCATGTGACATGAATGGTAACATTTATAATCTATACCTTATCTTTTTATCGGGAGAGGATCTCAACATGTTGCTCAGGCTGGTCTTGAACTCTTAGGGTCAAATGCTCCTGAGAAGCCAGGACTACAAGTGTGAGCCACCATGCCCTGATGCTGATTTATACTCCATTGAAATAAAACAGCTTAACTTCCCCAAATGAAAGTCCTGCTCCTGTGCTCAAGCTAAGTTTGGTGGTCTCCACACAACAGAGGGGCTGAACCCAGCTCAGCTCAGCCACAGTCTCTGGAGTGGAATATTTCCACATTCTCTGCCTTGTAGCATGGTCTCCCATTTTCATTTATTCTCCAGAATTCCTTCTACCTTCTTTTCTGTCTTTTGGGTACTACAACCTCAGGGAACTCAACATACCACATGCAGCTCAGTAGCGAATCTGTAAATCTCTAGAACAGTGTCTATTTCCTACCTGGGGGTCAGCAGCCATACCCGCATTGCTTCGAGGAGCACGCTCTCCTCTAGATTGCTTTAAAAGCTCCTCGTGTTTGAGATCTTACTATGTACCACACCATGTTGACTCTTTTACCTCTTTTTATCCTCTAAATAGCCCTAAGAAGTAGGTATTTTCTCTGTGCCCTCCATTTTCCAGATTAGTAATCATCAAACAATACACAATGCCTCAGAGGTTCTTAGTGTGGTTGAGCTGACACAGCAAAATATTATAAACTGGGTGGTTTATAAACCAAAGAAGTTTGTTTCTCACTATGCTGGAGTCTGAAAGTCCAAGAACTGGGAGAGGTAGACTTAATTTTGGCGAGGCTGCGTTCTGGTGCACAGACCACAACTTCCCGCTGGGGCCAGAGGAGAGGAGAGAGGCTACATATCTCTCTGAGTAGTCTTGTAAGGGCACCAATCCCCTTCAGGTCTGGAGACCTTATCAAAAGGCCTCTACTCCTAATACATTGCATCGAGGGTTTTACATACTGGTGGGGTGTAGGATTTTAACAGGAACAAGGGGCATAAACTTCAGATGATAACAGATGATATTAGGTTGGTAAGTGGAGCAGGTAGGGTTAGAACAATGATTGCAAAACCTCTTAAAATTCAAGACCTTTTCTTTCCAGGGCCTGGCAAGAAAAAGGTGAAGGCAAGAGAGGAGATGGAGGTGGTTGCAAACAGAACACCCTCACTTGCCGATGCATCCCATGTCCAGTCGCCAGGGTCCAAGCCAGCCAGCCCACACACCTAGCGAGCCGGGGTTCTCTCGCTTAATCCTTCTAGTAGCTTGGAAGCGGTAACCTCAGGGCGACTTCTGTTTGGCACAACTTAGCAGACAAGAATGAAGGAAGTGGATGATGTCGATGTCTTTGCTTTTAGGCTTCTGGCTTTCTGAGATCAGAAGAGTGGGTTTCCTTACGGGGGTGGTGCGGCACAGGGAGAAGCATCAGAGCAGACTCTGTGCGGGTGTATGTGTGTCGGCGCGCCCGTGCGTGGAGGGGAGATCGTCGTACCCAGCGCGAGGCACTGGGGAGGAGGAAGCGGCAGCAGAGATCTGAATAATTGATTCTCCAGCCGCACCAGACGCCCCGGAGCGGGCAGAG